GGGTTGATCGACGGACGCTATATCGAGTGAAGTACGCTTGCATGTACAGTGATTATTAGTGGTATTTATCTACTAAATAAACATTTCATAACACTATTCCGTACGCTAAATAAGTTTAATTTTTGTGCATGTTGGCAAATTTTAAAAATGTTATTTTTTTACGTTTGTAAGAACCATGGACTCTCCCCACATATTGATTTTATTTATTAATTATTTACGTTGTGCTTAATACTAAATTGGTCAACAACACATATGCAATTATCAACTACCTATAGTTAATATTTATAAGTTCTGCGGAATGATCGGATCTAGTGAAATTCCGACATTTTGGTTTAGGCAAGGAGGAGCAACTATCCACGAATATATGAAATTATGATCACAAAAAGGTAAATCGTAGGTATGGGTTCTACACCCGTGCACTGTATACTCAGAGCCCGCCCTATAGGCAGGGTCAAATTTGTATGACAAATTTCGCGTTATAAAAAAATATACTCTGAGGCCTCGCTCCACCTTAAGGCCGGTCCTGTATACTTGTATTAATCATAATATATCAATTTATATTATGTATTATAATTATAGTTACCTAAGCAAAATATTCACTAATGAGTATTTCTATATACGTATACAGTCGGATTTTATAATGTTTCGATCAAATTTTACGTTGTGCGGTCTTATACATTTTTGTATGCCTAGTAATTACCAACACAAATTGAAATATTTTTGTAGTATTATTATCACTCTTTAGATACACAGCTCTGTAGTAAACTGCAGTGCGATTGATAAATGAACGCACGAGTGTCGTGAGTAATGCGTAGGTACCTATATTATAATGCAGTATAATATATATTTTGAACATTACTAGCAATATTATCATCATTATTATTATTATTACTACGTTTATTTTCTAAATTTCTCAAGGCGGTCGAAAAACCGTTTGGTTTATGGTTATTACTTATTAGGGTTACCGAACGTCGGACGGTCGTCGCTCTAGTCCCCGTCCTGACGTTATCGCGCGCGCGGGTCGTTGTGAATGTAAATCGAGTGGACCGGCGAGAAAATTAGTTTTTTTACCAGGCTCAGACGTCAGGTGTTTGGATTACGTTTTTGAATATAATTAAAACCCATAAAATATATACACGCATACATTGTATATATTATATATACGTAAATAATAATAATAGTAGGTACACGGTGCCACCGATCCGCCGAGTGAGTATAATTTTTGACAAGAATCCAATTTCGTTTCAGACAGTTGTCGAGGAATGTCACTGTCCCGTCATTTCGGTATAAAAGTATATATATATTATATATAGTAAGTACCTACTATATAATACAGCTTGAAAAATGATAATTCCAATAAAATATTAAATATATACCTACTATATACGTTCGTTTTTATGTAGACAAGTATATAACTATAATAATATAATCGTTCTTATGACACATTCTTGTACGGGCTTATATTATTGCCGCTTGCACAGCCACCGCGTCGTACTGATCAAATGGAATTATAATGTCGAACGACATGTTGATATCAAATGTTAAGCATATACATGTTATATTATATTGGCCTATATGAAGGGTAAACGCGATGGGACATAAAAATAATAATATTGTATTTCATTAAATACTATAATCGAATTTTTTCAGTACACGAGTGTAGAAATATTAAAATAATAACTACAAATATGATATTACAGTAAAAGAATAGTAATATAAATAGTAATAATAATGAGACAAAGAAGTAGTAGGAGAAGAGAAAACGAGATTTATTATAATATACAGCGTTTACACTGTTTACAGAGTTCTCTATATCTCTGATGTTATTACTGTATTGTTGTTCAATGGCACACAGGTTGAAACGTTAACATTATATTATACAACACTTCAGGAAAACAACACTGCATTATTATAGAAGAGATTGATTAAAATTAGGTAACTACTCTGAATTTAAAAATAATAATCATAGATAGTTATTTTTTGTATTATGTAAAAGATAAAACTTACAAATATTTAAATGACAAGTTTAAAATGTAATCAAGTACATATATATTACTGAGTAGATTGGCGGTGTCCAGTCCTATCGAATCATTTTTATTTCACTTTTTGTATTTAATTTTTTTTAATTAAAATAAATATATTGTACTTATCTAGGCATTGGCTTATTAGTTATGAAATGTGAGTATTGTTTATTTATTTAATTCAAACGCAGCTTACAATGAAACAAAATAATATATTCTACCATGTTTTGTTTGTAATGTCTATATACTAGAGTAAACAAAAAAATTAACTGATAAAAATGTCAGAAAGATAAACGTTGTAAGTGTAAAAATAAAAAAGTAGAGGGTACACACTATAAGTGGTGCGCCATTAATAATTACCGAATAATTTACAAATCTCATTTTTACTTCGTTAAGAGGCACCCAACCATATCTATAATTTATGCGTATTTAATTACAGTCATTATAATTATAGTTGTTAAAACTATTGATAACAATTTTTTTTTGTGAATTATTAATATTAATTTATTCGCTTAGTTTAACTAGATATAAAATATAGTACCTAATAAAAACGTATTTTTTCTGCTGTAAAAATTAAATACATTAATAAATAATACGATGTTCTTCGTGAACATAAAGCAATATTTTCATTATGTTATTTATGACTATATTATTGTCTATATATTACATACGCGTACAAAGTCCGTATGTGCATGGATTACAACACAACAGTATAATATTATACCCTACAGACTCACTCTCAATCGACTGAATATGTTTAAACTTCTATAGGTAGGTACCCCATAATAATAATAATTATCATAAATTACATTAGATCGACCAAAACCGTATTCGTTATAAACGTTTACGTTTTTGATTATTATTTATAATAATGTGTATTATGTATAGTGTTTTTAGATATAAACCTAAGTGCACTTTTATTCGAGTCATCAACGACTGAGAGTTGAGACACACACATACGAGTATTATATTAACTCGATTTACCTTCCATTACAGTCTACAGATATAATATTATTACAGTATATGTTGGAAATGTGCCAGTATATGTGCCATGTGTATGGAGGCCATCAATACGATTTTTAGTGTTTGTTATTTACTCTGATTTATTGGTAATGTTGACCGTGGTTATAACCTGGTCATATAATATACTACGTTTAGTGTTAACATGGAATCACAAAATTATTTTCTACTTCCAATAATATGCGCACACGTGCCTACCGACACAACATTTTCTTTTCGGCTATATTTTTCAAATTTTTTTTGCGTCACTCTCTATATTATATATTTATAGATAAAAAGTATTCTTTAAATAACAATCTTATTCTTTTGGTTTTTTTTTCAACCCCTCTATTGTCTGCGGCCATCTGTATATAGGTACGATACATAGTTTTACTACAGGGTTGAGTAGACTCCAGTAGACCGTGAAAACAAAAACCTCCACAAAGACCTTAATATTCCAACCCTCAACGACTTAGCCAAATCTCATTACAAAATTAAAATTCCACTCAAAACTTTACGCCGATTAAAATCCACTAATTAAAAATCTATCCACTATCTCACTCATTCCTAGAAGGTTAAAATGAAAATGGAAAAGAGACCTGCTCAATGCTTAAAAAAAAAATGATTAAATAACGAAAAACTATATAAAAAAAAAACAAACAAAACCTAATTTCTGGTCAGGTGGGCACTGCTGGGAGCCTTCCTATTAATGTTATTTTATGTCTAATGTTCTTATTTCACCACAGTTGCTCATTATAAATTGTCTGTTGTATAGATTGTAAATAAACTTTCAAAAAAAAAAAATGAAGTTATTTACTAACCATATAATTTCACAATTTGTGTCATACGTTTAAATAACTTGCTTTTTTTTTGTCTTCTTGTTACAGTCTGTACATCAATAATGTATTATTACGATAGGAATAATACCTAAGATATATAACATCGAAATATATTAGATACCTCTATAAAGTAAAAATCAAACGACATTTTTTACTTACTAATTATGATCCAGTATATCCGAAATATAGGTGATCATAAACTTAAAGGATGACTATTTATCCAAAATATTCTCGCTCTATAGGTACATAGATTTAAAAATGTTCACTTTAACTCAAAGCGGTTGGACCTTTCATACGCTTGCCATTGTACAACTTGTGCACTATAAGTTGCATAATGCATTTCCATTTATCAATGATCCATCTAGTAAGCATATAATAATTTACGGACACGGACGTTTTGGCGCCGCCGTTTGGACGCTGCCGTTTTGGCCCTGCCGTTTTGGCGCTAACTCGGTTTGGCGCTATCCATTTTGGCGCTAGCCGTTTTGGCGCCAACTAATATTTTGTTAAATGTTACAATTTATTTGAAATGAAAATATATTGTAAATAGTTAGTTATAAAAATGTACTTAAAAAATGACTACAAGATATTGTAAAAATATAAATATAAATATAGTATAGTAAAAAATATTAAATAGTTAAAACACTTAAAACATTAAAAATAATTATTGTAGAAAAACATGAATTTTTATATATTTTAATAATTTATAAATATAAATGATTGGCATATAATCCAAGACGAAAAAATATCAATCGACAATAAAGATCGCACGTTATCTATTGTGACTGTAATAAAGTAAAACGATAAAAGCAAATCATGCTGTCCACACGCAAAACCATTAGATCATATATTGCATAGAATCTACAACGTCGATTATTACGTCTATAACGGTCGTTATCTATATATGATGATAATATGATATAACAATAAAAGTAAAATTTGGTGTTCACCTGATAGTTCGGTGTCATTTTTGTCTAATACAGTATACAAGCACGCGTTTAGTGAAGTGTTAATAAAGTTTATACACAGTTAAATACAAATCAAATTTAAAAATGGAGAAAATTCAATCGAAACGTGATCGAGAAATGCTTGTAAATGACGGTTACATGTATATTTTTGATAAATTTAGTGCCGACAAACAATGCTTGCTGATGATTTACCTGACGACATTGTTCCGTTACTTGAATGGTTCGAAGAATATTATATAGGAAGAAAAAATAGAAGAAAAGTGGGTCGTCGATCACCACAATTTCCTCCAGAAATATGGAATTTATATCAAAGGGTGTTAACAATCCAAAACCGCACAAATAATCACGCTGAAGCTGCTAATATACGTTTAAATATTCAAATGGGGGTTACTAATCCAACAATATGGTAATTTATAAATTGCCTTAAAAAAATCCAAACAGGAAGAGACGTTTTTTATGAACAATTAGTTACTGGTGGAAGTCCACCAAAAAAAAGAAGAAATACATTGATAATGATAAAAGAATTTTAAAATTAGTGTCTAATTATGATAAAAATAGAATTTTATTATTTTTAAGAGGCATTGCAAACAATGTTTCATTAGGGTAACTATTTTTAATGTAATAATATTTTGACCTTGTAATAATGTTTTAAAACTTTTTATTTTTACTATATATTTATATTTATACTTTGACTCTATATTTATATTTATACTTTGACTATATATTTATATTTTGACTATATTACCTTGTAATAATGTTTTAAAATTATGCTTTATACTTTGACTATATATTTATATTTTGACTATATTACCTTGTAATAATGTTTTAAAACTATTTATTTTTACTATATATTTTTATTACAATTTTGATATAAATTCTATTAGGTTAGTTGGCGCCAAAACGGCTAGCGCCAAAATGGATAGCGCCAAACCGAGTTAGCGCCAAAACGGCAGGGCCAAAACGGCAGCGCCCAAACGGCGGCGCCAAAACGTCCTAGACCGAATAATTTATACCTAATAGCTGCGCCAGTGAATAATGATGGTATAACATTAGGCGTATATTCTTGTTTATGCGTGAATAAACCATATAATGGAGCAACTTATTCATTTTTGGATGAAGTATTTAAATTTTTATCCACTCATATTAATTTTTGAGGACTTAATATATTGTTTCCCTACCGAAGAATTTTATTATCCTTACAATAGTTAAAAATATATTATACTTCACTAGCCATTACATTATATATCAAATAAATTAAAAACAATAAGAAGAGTCACATATTATACGTAGTTATTGAGAGGAATAATTATTCACAGGATTATCGGATTTTACCAAAGACAATTTATTGAGAATAATTATTAATGATCACCAGTGCAGACTACAGCCATATAGTTACGGGAATTATCACATATTTTATATTTATGGCTAAATTTTGTTTTCGAGGCCAAATACCCTGCACCTCACCCGGGCGTATACCACATGTATACCGATATAATATTCAACGACGATGGCAATGATTTATGACATTCGCCGTGTTTCGTCTCCACAATATTATACCATACCTATATTATATAACAGAACTACGTTTCGCGTCATATATATTTACTATTGAGGTACGCATCTGATGGTCGCGATCGAAAAACGCGCACATTCGTCCGTAACGCGCACTTTCGGCATCCGTAGAATGATAATAATATAATACCATGCCACAGAATACCATACAGTAATCCGTACCTATCTATCTATATATATATGATAATAACAATAAATAATGTACATTATTATTACATGACATGCCGAGTAGCGCAAATCGATTGGACGGTGCCCCGGCCGAGCACACCCACGTGCGTCTGGCCGACCGTTGGCAACGGCGGCGGGGGACTTGCACTCCTTCCGGTCGTTCTCGTATGGAATATTGATCGTCGCAGTAAATCGCGCGCGGCACGACGCCCACCGCGGCCGACCGACCGTACGACGGACATTAATATAATATTATGTATTAATAATAATATGTAAGTAAGTACACCGAACGCAATCACGTGTGTAATATTAATATTATAGCCGCGACGATATTATATCATTCGATACGTAGTTCACCGCAGTATATGTTGGTTTTTATTATAATATAATGTGATTATAATATATTATTTACTTACCAGCTATATTAGGTAGGTATACGATATTACACGATATCGTTGTATATTATTATGTAGTACTATCGTATATGTATATTATAATATTAAATATAAAAACAGAAATATATTTATATATTATATAAGGTATCGTTTTATCACATGGCATCGCGATGGCCCATTTAAACGAGTCAGATAATACGAGTACTATATGTATACATATTATAATGTGTACAAAGTTGAAAATATTATATAACAAATACTAATGTTTTAAATACTTTTCGGCTAGGACTAGGTGCATTATAATATTCCTAATATACATATTATTAAGAAAATTGATCAGAAAAACTATGTTGAGACTTAGTCGAATGTTGTCTCGTTTTCACGTTCCCTAGACTGTGGACAATGGTGATGGAGTGGGGATAAAATATTAGAGCTCTCGGATTTTAGAAGGGATGAGTTTTTTGTATGTATATATATTATATATCATATATCTTATTAGAGGTTAATGTAGGATAGTGGATACTTGTTTATAAGGGGCGATAGTCATTTAACAAGTGGATGTCTACATTTGTTATCCTTATGTATAATTATGATTATATAATGTAGGTATATAAATATAATTAATAATCTAGTTATAATAATAACAACGCTTATCTACGGTGTCTTGAAATGCAAATTGTTCTGTGGGACTCATTTTCCAAAATCGACTATAGATATATTAATATTGTAATTTTTTATAAGTCGTGATAAATAAAAAGTAGAGCAAAATAAAATTAAAAACTAATGAGTACCCACAGCAATATTGAATTGATACTAAAAAATCAACAACCAACGTTTGTTTTTTACTATATCTTTATATATAGTGGTACAAATTGTAACTTAATTATTTCTATCAATAACCCCCCTTCACATTAAAAATTGAGCATAACAAAATTAACAATGCAAATTCATTCCTTTGACATATCGGTTTAATTGGTCGGTTGAGCTCGTTTGACATAAACGAAAGACGATTCAGCTAAACACATCACATACAATATTTATGTACACGCATCACACACAGCTGACAAGCGTATTATGTATTTATACATATAGGCAATATTGTGGTTATAAATATAAAATTTCCACTGGAATGAACAATAATTATAAAATAGTAAATTTAGGTATATTTCAATTTTGTAGATTGTAGATATATACCTATACCAAATTATAATATATACCATCTAAGCCTTTTTTTTAAATTTATGCGTCTAGTGATTTATTTTGTTCATCGGAACTCACGAGACAACTCAAGTGTTTTTGTAAATACATATTTATTTCATATTATTTAAACATAGTTATAGAAATCGTATACCTAATTTTTTATGAATTCATGGAAAACAACATAATCGGTCTCATACAATTGAATAATTTATGCTAATATAGCATATAGAACACAAATGAATTCACAAATATGATTAATTTGTAAATAAATTTGAAAGAATCATGTATAACGAGTCATGTGTGTAACAAAATATGTAGATACCTAAATTTTTGTATTACCTATAAATTATGTTTCACAATAATGTTAGAACAAGAAAAGAAACTGTCTTATTCGCAATCAGACTCTATGTATACGTATTAATAATATAATATTATTATACCAAAGATCTAAAATTAGTGTATTCATTTTAAAACGATCAACTGCCGATTTCACAGGTGGCACTTCTGGAAGCTGCTCTACAATTAATGTTATTTTATGTCACCACATTTACTTATTAGTGATTATACCTTGTCGCATAGATTGTAAATATATATTTTTAAATAAAAAAAAAAAAGCACCTAAAATTGATTAACGATAATACAAGACACATTAGTGAGTTACACTTAATTTCATACACAACTCCTCTCAGGCCTATTTTATAGCTTTATGCCTATGTAAGCTTAATATGTATTTCTATATATAAGCGATGGTGCATGTTTTATATACAGCCAGTACAAGAACTGATTTATAGAGTCATTTTTTATAACCTATGCACAACATAGTTTAATTACGCAGTGCAGACATTTTTCTACTCTGAAAATGCACTATGCACAATACAATATACATAACACATAAATTATATATATATATGATATATAATAGAAATAAATAATAGGTGGTTTTTTACTACCCAATATCTGGCATATTTTAAATGTGAAAGATTTAATAAATACCTTAATACCTACCTACCTCGTTTGAACGAAGGTACTTTAGAATGGTCCTAGTAGCTAAAATAAAATGTCTTTAATATTTATTTATTTAATAACTATAAAACCAGCTGTACTATAAAACAATCTGGGCTAAACAACTTTACAAGTATATATGCATATACTCAACCCTACTTATCATCATAATATATCTAACCCCATGTATCATCCTATCACCTATGTATCATCCCATCTATCATCTTACCATATAACGCTGACCTGAATTTTATCAAATCTGTAGATGTCCTGTGTCCACAAATTAATTCTATAGTTATCCTTCTTGTGCACCCAAATAATAATATTGTTATAATTTTGTACACTCCTGATATAGTGATATGATAGGAACTACTTTAGCGAGTGAGAGTACACCACCACATGCGATTCGTTAAAATAATTTTATACGACCCTTGCATGCGTGTTTGTACGATATTATATAACTATGAAATATACCTGTAACCCGTTGACGATTATCGCTCGTGCAAGGATTAACAGGTGGGTGCGCGTGTCCACGTGGAAATCGGCGGTGGCGATCTCGATACGTCGTTGCGATAAGCCGTCGTTAAATTTCGTCAGTTTTACAAGTTTCCATATAGGATGAAAACACACAATTTTATCAGTGCTCCAAAAATGAATACGATATACATAAGGTATATATATATAAACCTTGCTTTAAAAAATATTTCTCAATATCTCTTACGTTTATCAGAACTCTAATTTTTATATGCGGTTGGTGATATCACCTTTAGATATTATATTACAGATATACTACCTATATACTTACCTATATAATATATATTATCTAAGTATAATATAATATTAGTACACATAAAAAAAATATATAATATAATATATTAATAACGATGCTGATACCGATATCGATTATTATGACGCTTACCGCTTACGTCGACTGTTACAGTTATACATACCTACGTGTTCAATATCATAATATTATAGTCCCCCTGCGCAGTTTGAATTAGATTTTAGGGAGCGCAAGAGCTGCATTCTTGTTATACCTTCGAAAAATCCTTGAGTGTTAACACATTTTTTAG